AATATAGCTATCAAAACAGCTCTACACCCATTAGATGTTTTTAAATGCACTAAGTAAGATCTGGTGGACCTACTACCATATTTGCATAATAATTCATGTAAGGGATTTCACCTGGGACAGGGATGTCCAACTTGTCCTGGTTTGCCCCCTATGTTCCCATCTTAGCAGTGAAAATCCCGTGTTCTGGAAGCCCCCTCATTCCTTCGCAAACTGGGACTGCTGGCCACATGCCCATAACGTGACAAGAAAGTCTGTGATCCTAGTGGGTGATGCTCACAGGCACAGCTAAGGCCGGGGAACTCTTCATGGAGCAAAGGCTATATTTCAGGCGGAGGTTAGTGGAAATAAAGATGTGATTTTTTTTATCCTATCCAAGTTCATGTACCTCCCAAATTCTATCCATGGACAGCCCCCTTCCAAGTTAAGAATCCCTGCAATTAAGGGGACAACGTTAGGCCTAATCTCCTCTAATCTTTATCATTGGTTCTTAGCTTTATTATAACTTAGCAAATCATTGTCACTGTTTATTTAAAAATTAAAACAAGTCTTGCCCTGGCTGGGTGACTCAGTTGGTTGGAGCATCGTCTCATACACCAAGAAGGTTTCAGGTTTGATTCCAGGAGTCCAGTCAGAAGCAACCCATCAATGTTTCTCTCTCACATCTCTCTTTCTCTCTCTCTCTCTCTCTCTCTCTCTCTCTCTCTCTCTCTCTCAATCATCAAATAATTAATAAATATATCCTTGGTGATAATTTTTTTAAAAATTAAAAGAAGTTTTGACACTTGAAGAAACCAAGATGATGGCATAGATAATCACCTACACTTGCTGCCTCTCACAACCACATCAGAAACACAACTAAACAGCAGGACAACTACCACCCAGAACTGCAGGAAAACTGGCTACGAGGAACTTCCACAACTAGAGAGGTGAAGAAAACTCATTGAGACTGGTAAGAGGTTCATTGATGCAGAAAGTGCTAGCACCTGGATGTGCTGCTTTTTAAACTGGGAGGGTGATACAAGTTCCTGCTTGCTCTGAATTCCAGTTCCAGGCAAGACTCCAGGGGACCCAGGCACATACGGGGAGAAACTGGACTGACTGGCATCGGGACTGGAATGCGAGGGCAGCTTACTCTTAGAGATGCTCGCAGCAATCATTGTTCCTGCACAAGGGCCCAGGACTTGGAGAACCGGGGACTTCTCCGGTTCAGGGCAGCCATCACTGTTTGCTCCACCCTGATGATTCCCAGAGACCCTGCCCCACCCAATTTACAACCACACCCAAGCTGTGTGCAGTGGCTTTTGCATATGAGTGGCCTTTCCTTTTGCCTAAAATAAACTGCAGCTGGGTCAGAGAGCTCCAGCTAATCCAAAAGAAGGCCCACAGCCTGGAAGCAGCAGCAGCTGCCTTGCTTCATAGCTGGGCTTCGTCTGGGCATTTCCAAACCCCATACAAAGAGGAGGAATCTGCAGATGTCTCTGTAGCTCCTGCTGGGTCGCCCCAGACAGTGGCTGACCTTGCACCTCCTTGGAGAATCAAAAGCCAGTGTACCCAGTGGTCAGAGTGAGACCATCCTGGATTATAAATCTTCACATCCGTAAGAGACACACTCAAGGGGCTGTACATAAGAGGGCAGGGCAGGATGAATAAACTCATTCCACTGTGGGGCAGGGTGGAGTTATACTCCATTTTGTGTAACTTGACCTTAGCCCTCACCCAACCAATCGGGGTCAGCCAAAGCAGTGACATCACCACCGGTGTAAAACCCCTGGGCTTGGCGAAGTTTGTGCTCTCCTCCGCCATGCGGTCTGCGTGAGTGGGACAGAGCCCATGTTAACATGGAAGAGGCTCTTTTGTTAATTGCATCGGATTTGGCTCCCTGCTGATCTTTGGGGATCACAGAATCATGGTACAACAGTACAGTTAGGATATGTGTAGCTTTTTGTGAGAAAAAAAACTTTAAGTATGGCTCTTTGGACAGCTACACAGCTTTCTAATAGGTATTATTTTCCAGAACCCATTTCAATTATTTTTCTACCGTTAGACCAGGAGCTCCATTGGTTGCCTTATCTGTCTCTATGCTCTGCCTTCTTGGGGCACAACACGGCCCCAAGCACATAACAGACTCTTGATAAACCTTCAAAAAACCAAGATATGGTGGGTTCTTCCCACACACTAACCCTTGTGGGTACAGTTTGACATTGTGTGTTAACAATCACTATATTTATTTTATTTATAAATGTTCTCCGAAGGTCTGAGCTCTAATCAAACTGGGAGTGGTATAATAATGACCCTCTCATGCATTCTAGAACTTAGCCTCTTCCTGTTGCTTTTTTGGTTAATCCACATAATTTCCTATTGTTTCTCCATTTCTGCAAAATATATTATAGTCCTTTGCACCATAGAGCACCCAGCCCTGTTGAATCAATCCCATTCTTCCTATTTTCATAAACATGATCAAGATTAAATTATATTCTTAACCCTAGCTGGTTTGCTCAGTGGTTAGAGTGTTGATCCACAGACTGAATGGCCATGGATTCAATTCCAATCAAGGCCATGTACCTCAGTGGCAGGCTCAATCCCCAGCCCAAGTCAGGATGCATGTGGGAGGCAACCAATCAATGTCTTGCTCTCACATCGATGTTTCTCTCTCTGTCTCTTCCCCTTACTTCATCCACTCTCTCTAAATCTCAATGGTAACTATATCCTCGGGTGAGTATTAACAAAGATAAATAAATTATATATTCCTAATATAATTGTTGGTGCCAGAAGACACAATTCAGTGGCCCCTGGCTACTCAGCTCATTTAAAGAGACTAATGTTCTCATACCAATTCCTTGGCTGTTTGTTCTTCTTTGCAGGGCGGATTGGAGCAGGTCTGTACTCCCTGCATCTGCTTAATAGTTTTCTTGCCTCATTTGCAGCTTCCAGAGTTCCTCCTTTCTTCTGAACATTTTCTGTCTTCCTCACTCCTCTGTGCCTCCAAAAACAGCTCTTTGTTCCCCCACAAGAAGAATCTGCAGCCTCATCAGCTCTAAACCAACCTCCCACTGTGCTCTGGGCAAAGTCCTGCTCGGAAAGGGATGGAAAGAAAGGGATGGAGGCAGCTGGGAGGTGATGGTACAGATGGGGACAGACAGGGTGAACAGTACACACAGTTTAGAGCAGGGCAATGGGCCTGCAGGGACAGCCTGCCTCGCTGGGTGGCCTTGGTCCTATCTGGGTCCCATGACCTCACACAGCGTGAAAGCTGGGCTAGAGGATTCTGAGTTCTTTCCAGCTCTGAACATCCCAAACCCTAATTATAACCCTAAACATCTACATAATGAGCAAAATTCTACTGACACTTGTCTCTGGATAGTGAAATGTTGAGATCTTTTTTCTTTGATTTCTGCATTTTGCAAATAGATTATTCTGTTTGCACTATTGTGTTTGTGTTCTCAAGACCAAATATCTGACTCTAGATAAAAATGGTAAAGTGATGTGTTTTCTTGAAGAAAAAAAATGAGATAAAATTTGAGAAGAAAAGGCAGAGGAGACACGAAGGTCCAACTGGAGGCCCCAAATCCAACTGGAGCACAGAAGCTCTGCAAGGGCAGCGTTAGCTGGGGGCTTTCTTACCTCCAGGGTGAAAGTCTTTGTAAACTCTTCTAGCGCCATCTGCTGGTCGATTTAGAATTAATCAATTTGGTTCACAAAAGGGTTTTAAAGTGAATCTAAAGTACATAGATGGAGTCATGTTCAGGCTGACGACCATCTTTTATTTACAGGCAAATCTCCCTCCATGCACACATCCACAATTCACTTTTTATTTCAAGTTGCAATCATGACCATAACAGGGACACCTGAACAAGACCCTTTGTATAAGAGGTGGTAATAACTATCTATGCACAGTCCCTTATACAAGGAGCGATTGATTCCCTAGCTCCCCTCCTGGCTACACTGGGCATCATGTAGAGACAGAGACACTCTGAGGAAACCCGCTCTCAGCCCCCACCATCTTTAAACTATGTTTGTTTCATTGCCACCTATCTCTCCCTGTCCCCTGGGTTGTCACAGGTCTTCAACTCGTTGATGTTTGGACTAATTCAGTGGCTCAAGCTTTCCCACATGACCCCAGCAGCCCAACATGCAAACAAGTCCTCTGATTTGGCTTTCTATCCACCATTAGTCCTGTTTTACCTGCTCCCCAATGCAAGCCCTGCCCCTCACCCTGTGGGTTCTAGCTGAACACTCACTCTCTTCCCACAAAAGGTGGCCCTTTGCTCTGGCTGGTCTAAAGGTGCAGGATGGTATGCATATCCAGCAAGGCCTGTGTAACCACCCTCTGTTGTAGATATTGATGGAAAAGCAGTTTCTTTCTAACTTTTCATTTCCATTCTAGAGGGCACCTCTAAAAGTACCCATCTTAAAAATAGCCTCAGCTGGACAAACACATCCATCCATCTGTCCAGCTGTGACATTCTCATGTAATGAGAACTATATGTTTGATCTCTGTCCTCAGTTCCTGGCTCAAAAGCTTCTACAACCTTGTAACTTCCTGAGTGGCAGGGTTGATAGGAAGGAGCAGCTTTTGTTATAATACTTGGGTTTTTGTCCCCTGTTTCCTGGCACTGTCGGGTTCAGAGAACTTCCAGGTTGGTGAACTCATCCACCTTCTGGGAGGGTGGTGCGCCCCAAACTCTTTGGGGCACCTGTATTTGAAATGTTTCCAGCCCTTGCCTTCTCCACCTCTGCACCTGGCCGTCAATCTGTATTCTTTATAATTAACTGGCAATCGTTTAAAAAAACACATAAATACAATACAAGGCAACTCTCAAGTTTTGCTGAACTTCATCAAGATCTTCCTGTAGAAAGTGATGAGAAGCTCCATCCTTCTCAAGACAAAGGATCTCCCGGGACTCCCCGATTGGTCCTGCAGGGAGGGGAGGCTGCCATATTTGGAGAGAAGCAAAATGCCCCTCCCTCTCCAGCTCCTACTTAGCTGGGAGGGCCTGGCTGCCAAGAGGGTGTGCTCCAGGACAGTGTGGCCATCGCTGCAGGGGCACGTTCCCAGGGAGTCCAAGGTAGGTGGGGAGGCAGAGTCTGTGCATGATTCCATTTCTGTGCTCAGGACTGCTCATTTCCATTCAGACTGCAAACCACGCCATGGTTACTTGACTCCCATCTCCTGGGAGGGATGGGCCCCAGGTCAGGGGACACTTGTGAGAATGGATGGTCATCAGGGGCTGCAGGTCTGTGTTTCGGTGCTGTAACACAATGCTATTGCAGGGTTGGCTGGTTGGGATTTTCTCTTGCGTTTAAGCCCTGGCCTGGAAAGACTAATTTCTTTCTCAAGAGCTCTGTGTTTTTATTTAATGTAATGTGCCTGTAATTGATGTTATTATTCTTATTTAAGATTTCCCTTCCCAAGGAGTAAGGGCTATGACATGGGGCGTGGTCCCTATTTCGAAGGTTAATGAGTGTTTGCTTGAAACTCTTTGGAGAAAGCTGCTCTGAGCTCACTGTGTGTGTGGGGGGGGGGGGGGGGGGACTGAGGGGTGGTGGGTGCTGAGCCGGGTGCATAGGTTGCTGCGGGCACATTCATGCCCACCCTGGGGCAGAGCCAGGTGATGTCTGCACGTTAAGACATGTTAGCAGAGGCTTCTTTGCAGATGCCCTGAAGAGGCCAAAAAAACACTTGGGTTGATTTTCCCTATTTTTCTACATAAGGATCAGTGTCTCACTGGATTTGAATGTTTTAACTGAGGTGTACTAACCACCGTTAGGAATACTGCAAGGGGATGGTGGAGGGTGTGTTAGGAGCTAAGCAAGATAGCTTTCCAACCTCCTCCAGCTCTGGCACTTATGGGCTTACAATAAGCCTCATTTAGGGGACAGCCTCCTCTGAAGTAACTTCCCGCGCCCCTGCTCCCCATGGACAAAGGTCCGGGTGCTGGAATGGCCCAAATGGTTGACCTTGGGAAGTGGGTTTCCACAATAACTATTGTAGTTTCAGGAGCTAGATGCCATGCACTCCCGCATTGCAGGGCTGGAAGGGAGGGCAGTCCATGATGTCATCAGCAGTCCTCCAGATGCCCTGGGGTCACCTCAGCGCTTCCCTGGCCCTCCCCTTCTCACCATCATCCCATTTCCTCTGAAAAGCCTCCCAAGCTCTTTGCTCAGCTCAGGGCCCATTGGCCTGCTCTTCATGCCCAGTTAGAAGCACAAAATCTGAGCACCAGCCCCTCGGGCGATTCAGAAGGGCAGTGGGCATGGTGGGAGCGGTGTTAGAAGGAGCTGTGTTCAAACCTGTGCGGCCATGGCAAATTACCTAATTTCTCTAGTTCCTGGTACAACTTTTATAACAGGGGAATAATATGATACCTTCCCCATGTGAAAAGTAAGGTAGGCAACGTCAGAGGCTGACACAGGATAAGTGTGAAAGAAACCAACTGGGAGAGGCAGATGGGGTCACACTGTCCCTAGAGATGAAACATGAAAGAATTACTCCTGGACATAGAGAGAGACAGGGACCCCACGCATCCCAGCTCTCCCTCCCTCTCCTCTCTCTCTCTCTCTTCCTCTCTCTCTTTTTTTCTCTCCCCCTCCCTCTCTCTTTCTACCTTAAAGGCCTTCGGAATCAGCAGCCAATGACTTTCTTAGAGTAGATGGCAGAAAGTGCCCAAGCCAGTGCCAGCTAAGAGCAATACAGAATAACGAAGGAAGATTTTAAAAAAAAAAACACAGCCCATATAATAGTGTCAGCCATAAAACAACAACAACAATAGTAATAAAAACACAGCCTATTCATTATGTAAGCTGCTCTGATTGGCAGTGTATAGATTCATTTTATGTGTGAACATTGGTTAACAAAGTTTTTTTTGTTTGTTTTTTTGTTTTTGTTTTTAAATACAGTCTATGCCCAGCCCTAGCCAGCTTTGTTCAGTGGATAGAGCATCAGCCTGTGGACTGAAGGGTCCCAGGTTCGATTCTGGCCAAGGGCACATGCCTGGGTTGCAGGCTTGATCCCCAGTAGGGGGCGTGCAGGAAGCAGCCAATCAATGATTCTCTCATCACTGATGTTTCTATCTCTCTCTCCTCCCTTCCTCTCTGAAATCAATAAAGAAATATAAAAATGAATGAATGAATGAATGAATGAATGAATAAAGTCTATTCCCAGAATAGATTCCAGCTCTTCCACTGTCTTCCTTCCAGGGATCCCTTGATTTGAAAAGCTTGGGAACACCAGAGAACACCTATATGTATTCAGTCAGTCAGCACTCACTCACTTTCCCATGCTCATTCAAAGGCTGTGTAATTGCCAGTTGCCGCTTCTTATCTGTCTGAGAAAGCCAGGGTCACACACACCCCCTCCCCCCAGTGGATCTAGTCCCAGGCCAAAGCAAAAAAAAAAAAAAAAAAAAAAAAAAAAAAAAGTGGGACGGGCCTAACCCTGCGCTGCCCAAGCGTGGGAAAACAATTATGCTTCAGGACAGACCTGCATGAGGCAAGGGTGTCACTCCTCTGTTTAAAGTCTCCTCGCGGGAGGGGCCGGGAGCGGGGAGCCGCGCTGGAGGAGTGACCGCCTCCTCCTTTGCCTTTGCAGGTTCTGACACGATGGGGAGGCACCTGGGGGGATGCTGCCTGGCCGTCGTGTGCGTCCTGCTCTGCAGCCAGCTCACCGCGGTGCAGGCGCGCGGCATCAAGCACCGGATCAAGTGGAACCGCAAGGCGCCGCCCAGCAACAGCGCCCAGGTCACCCAGGCCCAGCGGGTGCAGGTGCAGCCGCGCCCAGGCGCCTTCGTCAAGCACGGCCGCAAGCTGGACATCGACTTCGGAGCCGAGGCCAACAGGTACTACGAGGCCAACTACTGGCAGTTCCCGGACGATATCCACTACAACGGCTGCTCCGAGGCCAACGTGACCCGGGAGAAGATCGTCAGCGGCTGCATCAACGCCACCCAGGCCGCCAACCAGGAGGAGCTGTGGCAGGAGAGGCCGGACAACCGGCTGCACCGGCGCATCCTGTGGCGGCTGGTCCGGGAGCTCTGCTCCGTCAAGCGCTGCGATTTCTGGCTGGAAAACGGAGCGGGTCTGTGGGTCACTGTGGACCGGCCCGCCATGCTCTGCCTGCTGGTTTCCGTCTGGTTCATTGTGAAATAAGCCTGGGGGGAGGTGAGCTAAGCGGGCGGGCGAGCAAACCAGAGTCACCCCAATTCTCTGCACCCTTCTCCCCCGCCCCCCCCCCCCCCCCCCGGTCTCCACCCACCCCATGTTCTGAAGGTACCAAAGAGCAGTGATTCCTCAGCGCTTCCGTAACTCTCCCCAGAGTCCACCTGGGCGTCTGCTTGAATTGGATTGTTCGAGTCTCAGTCCCCCGCAGGCTGTCCGAGGGCGCGTTCATCGCTGCATCCTCAGCTCCTGGCGTAGTGCCTGGCACACCGTCTCACACAATAAGTGTTTGGTGAACTAGGAAGGGGGGGGGGGGGCGCATCAGGGACTGTGCCAAGCACTTCGCAATGCTTCCCAACAATTCTCAGAGATAGTGTTATTCCCAGAAGCACAGAAGAAACGGAGGCTTTGAGAGATGAAGTAGCCAGAAAGTGGTAGAACCAGACTTCAACCCTGGCTTGTCTAACCCAGACTGCCCGCTCTAGGCGCTGGGCGCTGGGCTCTGGGCATTCCCAGGGCTGTCCTGTGATCACTGATGGCCCTCAACGCCACATCCAAATGTGTCTCTGAGATGCCAGTGTTAGAAATATGAGAAGACCTGAGCTGATGGCCATGTAGTTTCATACCTTTCTTACATGGAGGTCTCATTTAATTCCTCTAATTATACTACAATGTAACAAAGGGATTAAACTAAAATAGAAATAAAACTAGACAAAAAGCCCAGAGATTATCTTGTAAGGAAACATTGCCAGGCTGATTCCCAGAGCAGACGAGTGCCACACAGGATCTGTCTGTCACATGAAGATTTTTTTTCCCCACAAGAAGGATCTATGTTTGCTGTTCCCATCTCTGAAACAGTCCATGTGTTTAAGAAAATGTTTTTTTAAGTAGCATACTTGCTTTCTAATACTCTCCTGACTCTCTGTGCATGGTTTTAGGGACATCTTTAAGTAGTCTTCCTTCACCCAGGGACTCCACACAATCTCTAGCAGTATTTTTACCACCACCTTGGGGACAGGCCATCGTTTTTGTGAACCACTTATCGCTACGAAAAAATAATTCCTCCTAGCCAAAAAGATTAAAAAGAAACTTTAGGGAGACCTAATAAAGAATTCATCCATGCTGTAAAGTATAGGGGATATAGTCAATAATATTGCAATAACTTTCACAGTGCCAGGTGGGATTTGAAAAATTGGGGACCACTTTGTCAAGGATATGATTGTCTAACCACTATTTTTTATACCTGCAATCCATACAAAATAATGTTGACTGCAAACTGTCATTGAAAAATAAAATTAAGAAGTAATTAACCCATGCCATTAGCAAGAATAGATCCACTACTTCTTAACTGTTTATTAGTTAAAAAAAAAAATATATATATATATATATATATATATATATTGTAAAATATTATTTGCTAATTTTAGCTTAAAGTATATATTTTAAAATTTGAATACAGCTTAAATAAAATTAATGAATCGAATGTCCTAAGGCCCTCTGGGGAACTCTCAGAGACCCACAGGAGTTGTTGAGTCATATTTGGAGACAACAACTGCTGAATATTTATCTATTCTCCTATAAAGAGAGTCTGTAAGAGAGAGAAAAAAGTACATTATCAGACAGTTTACATGCAGCCTTTTAGGACATGAATGTTGATAAGGGCACCTTTTGTTCTGAGCCCCCACTGTTATCTATGTTCTTCTCAAAGATACATTCGGAAGCTTTTAACATAGAAATGGGGTGGAGGACTTGGGGGCGGGGCATTCCAGGGGAGCAGCCTGCCCCGGGGAGATGCCCATCCTGCACTGAGACAGCAGAGGCCCCCCAAGATGTTTTGGTTCTCATTCTGCCAGCACCTCTCTCACCACCCACTTCCCGTGTCCTCCTGAATCCTTTCACAGAGTGAAGTATTGACCTCAACATTTTTATTTTCTAAATAATAACAGCAACAATCCAGACAGAAAGAACAATTGCTAATAAACTGATGTTGAAATTTCAGGTCCAGGGTCTCCTGAGTTTAATTACAAGGGCACACACAGCCACATAAGCAAAATGGCTTCATTTCTGATATGAAAACAGTCCATCTTTATGTAGCACATTATCTAGAATTGCTGTCACTTCTCATTTCTTTAATAGTTCCAGAACTCAGATTTAAGCGGGGCGTGAAATGAATTTGTACATGGTGATTCAGGTGCAAACTTTATTTATGGAGCTTTTAATCATAACTGTATGTGCTTGAACATTCTTGCTCGTGTTTATGAATTATGAGGTCAAGCCAAGGCTATGTGAGTCTGGTTCTTCATTTTAGCAAAGGACTGCCGAGTGCCTACTATGTACAAGACACTGTGAGAAGCTTCTGAATTATTCTTGAGAGTCCTTTTAAATGTGAATAATTTCACCAACCATTGCTTTCTTGTTCCTTCATAGTGATGACTTTTTAAAGAACATTTATTGTGACATTAAAATTACAACAGAAATTCAAGAAAAACATTGCTCACAATCCTAGCATCTGATTAAGTCAGTGTTTTTCTTTTTTTCCTATAAACTTTTAGCCCTTATCCATTTGCATATACCAATGTACATATTTGTCAGCATTTATATTCTAAATTTTCCCTCAACTTTATTATTTTTTTCATTTTTCCTAAGATTTTTTTGTTCTTGCCTTCCCCCCTACTTTCCCTAACCTCCCTCCTTTCTGCCTGAGATGACGCCTGCACTTCCTTTTTGCTTAGATATGTGAGAGAGTTTTGGTCTGGTTAAGTCTTTTAAAAGTATTATAATCATGCAGATCACATTTCTTTCTCTTCAATCTGCCTCTGTGACTTCACCCTGCTTCAAGAACCTCTCTCCAGTTCAACAGCTAGCTAGTTAGCAAACTCATCCTTTTACATTGCTGTGTAATATTCCACAGGACAGGTAGACCCTGGTTAATTTAGTCATTTCCTTGTTGGTGGACCTTCAGGTTGTTTCCAGTTTTCACCACTGCAAACAATAAACATCTTTATATGTATGACTTTGCAATCTGTTACTTTTATTTCTGTGGCATAGATTTCAACAGGCAGAATTTCTGGAACAAAACTATGAGTGATTTAAATTTTTTCTCCACGTGACTAGATAATGTTCACATGGGCGGAGCAATTCCCATTGCCATCTGCAGTGTATGGCGCTAACGTGTACGAGTTTCTGTGTCATTTAAGCTGACTTTTCTACAAGTGCTGCTTGAGCATCTTCTCCCCTTTGCAGATGACACACCTAATGCTTCCCACGTGATTTCTGACCACAGACCATTTGAAAATCCTAAAACTGTGAGCAATTTCCATTCTAAATCTGGTCCTCAGCCCAACACATCTGGATGAGAACCCTGGAAAGCAGGCAGTGTGTGTGCAAGCTTCCTGCTCACAGAGTGGCATGTTTGCATAACTCCATACACCCTAAGGGCAAGAAGAGGCATAAAGTTTGTTGCTTCTTTAATAAATCTTTTACAAAATTAGACAAGCGAGTATTTGCCAGTGAGAATGCCTTCTTAGGTCATAAAGATCCAAAGGAGCAGGCATCAAGCATACTTGGTTAAGGTACCCCATGATGCCCCTGGACAGCATCTCCCTGGAGCCCCTTGCACCCCATCTTGCTTAGGACCCCACCTTCCTTGGATGTGCCCGGCAACATTTCGACACCCAGCCCTCTGGTCCTAGTGACGTGTGTCCTGGTAGTGGCCACTAGTTGTCTTGAGCTGCCCGCACTACCTAAAGGTTTGGATAACAAGTGACTGACCTGGAGCAGTGGTCCATTGGGTCAGGGGCCCCTGGCCCTACATCAGACCTGCAGTTTGGTCACATCTTGAATTCTCACCCAACACTTTTTCTTCATGTGATGTATATGGTTGAACAGAGATGCCCTAAAATTCCGTGTTGCTGCATGGCACATTCCAGGGTTTGCCAGGGTATCAGCTGAGATGCTGACAGCAGGGCCCCTGTGCCCACATGCAGGCAGTGATAACACACTGGTGACACTACCTGCTGGGCAAGCGATGGGGAAGACACACCAATATGGCATCATGACAAGGTTCAGTTTCCCCAGCTGAAAGCTCAGGCTGCTCTGCTGAAGAGCAGACCTCTGGCAGACTCGGCTCATGCCAGCAGCTGTGTGCTTGCTCTGTCTGCCCCAAGACCATGCCAACATACACAACACATGGCTTGTTTTTCTCCTATTCTCGTTGCTTGTAGAAGACCTGGTCTCAGTTGGGTACCACGTTCCCTGATGCAAGAGAAGGAAGTCAAATTCTCATGCCACTAGGAATGACATGAACCTGCAAAACAGGAAAAAATCCGAAATTCCTTGAAGCCCAGGGGGCATGGCTCAGTGGTTGAGCATCAACTTATGAATCAGGAGGTCACGGTTCAATTCCCAGTCAGAGCACATGTCTGAGGTAGGCTTGATTCCCAGTGTGGGGTGTGCAGGAGGCAGCCAATCAATGATTCTCTCTCATCATTGATGTTTCTAGCTCTCTCTCTCTCTCTCTCCCTCTCTCTTTCTCTCTGAAATCAATGAAAATATTTTTAAAAGAAATGCCTTGAGCTGAGACCGGTTTGGCTCAATGGATAGAGCGTTGGCTTGGGGACTGAAAGGTCCTGGGTTCGATTCCGGTCAAGGGCATGTACCTTGGTTGTGGGCACATCCCCAGTAAGGGGTGTGCTAGAGGCAGCTGATCGATGACTCTCATCGATGTTTCTAACTCTCTATCTCTCTCCCTTCCTCTCTGTACAAAATCAATAAAATATATTTTAAAAAAAAAAGAAAAAAAAAGAAATGCCTTGAAAAGGTGGAATAACGTACAATCTCTGAGGCCATTGAAAGCTGCTCCAGAAAACTAGACTCAGCTGTTTTCCCTGAACAGCTGTGGGCAAGCAAGAAATCTTTCTCTACTCTTTTAAGTTCTTCTCACTGGTCTAATAATTAAATTTCTTTAGAGAGATAATGGGAAAATAAAGTAGCTATGACATTCTGAGTTCAGGATGAGGTAAGGGACCTTGGAGCTTCAGATAGGAAGAAAGTCATTTGCAGGATAATAAGAAAAGCTGATGCTCAGTAATTACTTGCCCTGCCCTGTGGCTAAGTGGTACAATATTATTTCCGGTGATAATGAAACAGGTAGAATAAAACGTTCCCCCACATTGCTCCATCGAATCAAACCCTGCCAGGACAAATTGCTCCACTGAGGGAAGCCCTGCCAGAACGGTGGCAATTATCACTAGGTAGCTATGAAGAAATGGTCCAGGAGGGGTTTCCTCAAAAAATTAAATATGGAACTGCCTGGGAATGTATGACCCGGTGATCCCATTTCTAGGAGTATATCCTAAGAAACCCAAAAGGCCAATTAGAAAGAATATATGCACCTCAATATTCATAGCAGTGCAATGCACAATAGCTAAGATCTGGAAACAGCCCAAGTGCCCAGTATTAGATGAGTGGAATAAAAAAGTTGTGGTACATTTACACCGTGGAATACTATGCAGCTATAAAAAAGAAGAAATCCCTTACCTTTTGAGGCAGCATGGAGGGACCTAGAGAGCATTATGCTAAGTGAAATAAGCCAGTCAGAGCAAGTCAAGTATCTCATGATCTCACTCATATGTGGAATCTAATGAACAAAATAAACTATCCAGAGACATATAAACATGGAACAGACTGACAAATGGGGGTGAATAGGGGAGGGGGAGAGATTAACTTATATGTATATATGTATATATGCATAACCCATGGACACAGACATATTGTGGGGAAGGCCTGGAGGGACAGTTGGGAGGGGAGGCGGTCAATGGGAGAAAAAGGGGGACATTTTTAATGCGTTCAACAATAAAGATAAATTTTAAAAATAAAATAAAAATGACATTCAAAGTACAAAATGCATAATTTAAACCCGGAGCGGAAACAAACAATGGTCTGAGAACCAACCTGCCTCCTTTTAAGTTTGTTTCAGATCTAAAGCCAAGCCAGGTCCCTTCCTGCATCCCACGAGTGCTGCACAGTCTCAGAGCCTCTCGCATGGCTG